GTCAAACTTGTGACTAAGTGTGCGCGCACATGCAAAATACAAGCATTGTGTGCGACGCACATAGAATGTGAGTGTGCACACTACTGTGTGCGTGCACTGACAGAGTGAAAATTACAGCCCTGCTCCCGATAAATATAAATCGCGTACGCTTTTCATCACATTCAACGATTTGTGTTCTCAGCATTGTCTAATGTGCATTGAATTTGGCGGGAGCGAAACATTATTCGCTGTTCAACATCGATCTTCAATCATTGACTGATTACAAAAGAAAACAACTCGAAGGGAGCACGCTCTCGCAAGATACATAGATTATCACACTTATTTGCTATTGCTTTGGAAATTTCGTGCAAATTTTCCATGAATTGCACGCAACAAGTTTTAAATGAAAAGCATGTGTTGTTTTTATCGTTCTTCGTCCAATCGACAGCACTTTGTTTTTTATCGTCTTTTTTCGATTATTTGCCGATAAATTCGGTTTGAATATGTAAAAAAACCAGAGAAAAAATTTGTATCTCCACGCTTTGCAACTGACTTTCTTGCGAAATGCTCTGCAACATTGTTTCTGTCTTTTTCCGATTTTCATTCAATTTTTTTTCGTCTTATTGTTGCTGCTGTTATTTCCGTTGTTGTTTTTTTACATTGATTTTGTCTTTTCTTACCTTTACACTTTTTTCCGTACTTTTTTTTATTTCACCATTTTCCATAAAAAGTTATTAACCTTTATTTTTGAGGATTCACCCTCTTGATTTTCATCATATCATCAAGATTTGTGTTCCCCCTTTCAATCATCGTACAGCCAACACATTTTTTTTTAAGAAGAGAAAACAATCAAGCAAAGATTTAAAGCACAGAATTCGCAATTGTGCCCGTTCTTTTGTTCAAAATTAACATGTCAAAATTGTAAAATTTCAGGAAATTGCCCGGCTGAAACGAGAAAAACTCAATAAACAGGTAAATGTTCGGATTTGAACAAAAAACTCAAGCTGAAAATCACAGCCCAAAACTAAAATGTGTGTATGTGACAATGCTCGAGTCGTCCGATTCAGTTTAATTGCGTTTTTTCATCGGTTTTAAGCTTATATTTGGGTGTTTTCGAATATTTTATTTCTTTGTGCAAATTTGTTTAATTCGATTTAATTTTGTTGTGAATTTTTTTCTTTTAAAAATCGCACACGATTATTTGTTTTTCTGCACATAGTTTTTCTTTTCATTGTCCACGATTATTTAATCTGTTTGTGCCTGTTTACGCTGTGTTGAATTCAAAAAAAATATATAGCACACTGTCTTGCACTTTTGTTGCATTTGAAATGCACAACATTTCATTTTTCGTTCGCTTTTAAATCAAAACAAAATGTCAACATAAAATAAATATAATTATAAAGAAAAAAATCATCCTGATGGGAACTTAAACGTAGGTTTTTTTTTGCTTGTGAGACTGTGTTCCGTTAAAATCCTGTTTGTTTTTGTTTTGTTTTGTGTAAAATATTTTGAAATAAGTAATGCTGATGAAGATTCACACGGAAATTGTTGCTTGTCTTTATCATGGGAATGAACACACCAAAAAAAAAAACAAGGAAGAAAAAACGAACACAAGATTGAGATGTGACAAAACGGTACAAACAAAATTTTTGTTTTTTTTTTCCTTCGCTAACGGATTGCTAATTGATTGATCAGCATTCATTTTCTAACCGGCATTAATTCCAAAGCAAATTGAAGTTAACATGAAGAAGAAAAATGGCAATAAAAAATTCCGAATGGTTCCAGCAATATTTAATATACAATAGACAATCTCATATTAAATCAATATTTATTTGGTTTTTTGTCGCTTTATAAAAATCAACACGACGAACAAATAACATGAATTTTTAAACCGTTGCCAAGGTAGTTCGATCGAACTATATTATTGCTGGTCGTTTTTCGTAAAGGTGCAAATGTATACAATAAAAATGAACCAGGAAATAAAAGCGCATAAATTAACAAGAGAAATGAGAGAAAATGGGAAATAAAAACAGCGAAATATAAAATATAATGGTTTTTTTTGGTACATTCGATAAAATAGATGAAAAAGGCATATTTACAACAGATGCGCATCGAAATAAGAGATATCACATTAAGTCGAACATGTGCGAGTTGTGAACGAAGACGAATGAAAATAGAAAAATATGACTATTTGAAATCGAAATGAAGAGCAACATCAGGATAGCGACGGAATTTTTAGATAGTTGACAGCAACCGCAATTCTCGGACTTGAGTTGTTATGTTTTCATTCCTCTTCTCGGTGTGTGTGTTTTTTGTTATTTTGTTATTATAGTCGAGTTTCAAACTCGCTCACACAAATACGTAGGCATATTTTTTAGCAAAAGGCGTTTCGCACTCTGCAATGTAATGAAATATTCAAATTTATAGATTGTAAAACCGCAACAGAACGAGAAAAAAAAACAAAGGAAAGAAACAGCGGCTCCATATTCGTTGAGCACAGATAATGGCAGATAGAGTATATCATTTTAATGATACGTTACTACAGGACTCTTTGACATGTGTTCCATTTACGTGAAGCTACAATTTTATGTCAGACATAATTCAAGTTCACGGTGTGTGTGTTTTTTTATTTCATGAAAACATGAAAACACTTCAGAGTTTGGTTTCTATTTTTCTGTGAACACATCTAATTGAAGCTGAAATCCATCATATTCATTCACTCTCAGACTGTTTTGGTTTTTTTAAAAGTATATTTCCGCTTTCGTAATTTATGTGTATTGACGGTTGATAGAAAATTGTCTTGAAGTGGCATAGTTTTGACTTGACATTGTCTTACATTACGTGTTGAAGATAAATTTTTTTCTATGACAGCGAATGTGCTCCATCCCTGCGACATGACAGTGTATTGCAAAAAGTGACATGGTGGCGCCATGTACAACATGGTGGTGAAAGAACAAATTTTCATGTAAGAGCATGTACGACCACATTATTGATGTTAGTTGTTATCAACTTGGATGAAATAATTTGTGGTCGCAAATGCAAAATGTGCGTGGTCGCAAAGAGTGATCATAAAATTTATCTATTTTCAAAAATAAAATGTTTACAATTAGAAAATTCCTTGCGATTTCATCATTTTTGTATTTAAAATTTATTTCGTTTAAAAAAAAGTAGAAGAAAAAACAAATCGTCTATCACAGTGTGGTCGCAAATACGTTGTGTGGTCGCACATGCAAAGTTTGTTCTTTCACCACCATATTACAGGTACATGGCGCCACCATGTCACTTTTTTCATGTCGGGGGGATGATGTGCTCATTATTTTCGTATAAAAAAGTGAGTATATAAGACCAATTTGCTAATTTTATCAAAATCAAAATCAATGAATCTATATCTATAAATCAAGACAATATGTTTTTATTACATACTTATGAATTGCGTATTATTCATATAGAAAACGTCGGTTTAAATTTCGTATATCCCAATAATCTTGAATAATTTGCTCGAATAATGAATGGCAACTTCAATTTATCAGTCTTCTTGTTTTCAATCATCCAAAGAGATTTACGCAGCCGTTGAATTATGTTTTTTTCTCTTCGTGGTACACAATTTCAACAATGCGTATATTTTGAATAAAATTCTTTCATGAACATTTGATTTATGTATCATTTTCAAGTTATTTTTTTTCCTTTCATTCGTTCTGGAGAAAAAATAATTTCACCTATTTTCTATGCAATTAAATGTGTGCCGCACATTTTTGTCATAACAATTCAATACACGCTTGCGTTGTTTGCCACTAAATGGCCAAATATGTGTGTGTGTGTGTGTGTGTGTATACGCTCGTGTAGAAAATCGATGATGTTGCTAGGTTATGCTAATCTAATAAAATAATAAATAACATCTAAATTAGAAATGCACTTATATGTGCTATTTCCAATTTTTTTTTTTCATTTTGTTTTTTTTTCTCTCTCTTGTCGTTTTGCCGTGTTGTTGTTTTTTTTTTATTGCGTTCCATGGTTTTGGAAACACGTGCTTTAATTACAATTGTTTGTGAAAAAATGTACACAAACATGGCATAATCGTTTATTTATTTGTTTATTTCTCTCTCCCACTCTCTCATTCATTTGTAAGCAACACAACACCTGGCTTCCTGACTATTCCTTGACTACCCGAATAACATAAACACACCAACCAGAAATTAAATAAAATGCGCACATTTTATGTATGCATAAAACGAGCAACGATTTCACTTGTTGTTGTAGTTGTGTTTTATGGAAGTGATTTAGTCGCAATCTATTTCAATTTTCTCGGACTACCGTGTATACATATACAACGATGGTCACTCAATTAAATCGGCCCCGCATTTGGTCTGAAAAAAAAATATACGTTGCAACAGCACTAGCAACAGCACTAGCAACAGCATTTGCACAATTGTCTATTAAGTTTTCGAAATGGAAATGAGCACAAAGAATGCGACTTAAAAACGTTTCATTTGCGTAGTTTTTATTTTGGTAAATTTTTTTTTGAAATAATTAAAACCTAAATGAAATAAAAAAAACACGTTGAGTCACTCATCTTTTTCAATTTCTATTAAATTGTTTATATTTCCAAATGAATAATGAGAATTGTTCTCCATTCGATCGACTTAGTGTTCCAATTAGTAATGATCAAAGCGTTTTAAAGCGTGTCAGCGCAATTTACATGGAAACCAGTGGTTTTCGGATTCTTTTTCATCTATCTGTCTTTACCACTTTGTCTTCCTTGTTTTTTGTTTATATCTCTTTATAAAATTGTTCATTGCACAATCGATTGGTAAGCGAATTTCGATTGAATGCATATTTGTCAATTTTCATATTGAATGTATGCTACTTACATTTCATGCATGCTAAAATACACGCCAGGATGGATAAAAAAAGATGTTGTGATAATGCATTTTATGAAATGCCAGCGCTGAACACAAAATCAATCGCAAACTGAATAAATAATCTCATTAAATTGATGAAAAAGTATTTTTCTTTTTTTTTAAATTAAATTTTATAACGGATGTCAAATTACATAAAATACGGCGAGCATATAAATGGTATGGTTCATTTATAATCCAATGAAGGAAAAAAGAGCCCACAAATCGGCTGAAGTTGAAATTCGTTGAATTCAAAATGCGAACAAAGACAGTCATCAATCTGTTTAGGGATCTGTCTTTTGTGTTTGTGAATATGTCGAGACTTGTGAAGCGTTAACAAATCGATGTGGATCATTGAAATCATTGAGTTTTTCACAAGCGGCTTTTCGGTTTCTTTCGACATTTTCGAATTTAGAGGACCAGTCATTTGGTTTGATTTTTGATGACACACGACTCTTCTCACATTCACTTCAGCGCACAAAAATACAATATTTGATTGCCATTTATGATGAGCTACAATCCGAAATTTTACAATCATTTTGATCAATTATTCACAGACACGCAATATTTATTATCAAAAACTTAGATCGAATTCAACAAAAACAAAAATCAAGTAGATTTGTCAAGCAATAAAAAAAGAGCAATTTTCGGCACAAAAATTTTCAAATTGGTTTTCGGAATTTGCGTACAATAATCATAGTTCTGTGATTGTGCCAGTGCATGAAATGTAGAGATCAATGAATGCAATTTCAAATAATTTTCAATTGTATAAGCACACATTCGGAGCGTTGCACAAAACAGAGAGAGAGAGAGAGAGAGAGCGGCTGTATGAAATGTGCGTGCAGATTTTCCGATTGTGAGTTCAACATAAATATCCCTTCAACATTCGCTATTTGCACGAGGTGATGCGAATGGTACGAAACGAAAAGAGGTCGCATTCGAAATTTTTAGGGTAGCTCATGATCCCAAGTGGCGCATTATGATTGTTGTTTTTAGTATCGTATGCTATTTCACTATTTGCTGAACAATTCTCTTTTGATTTTACCGCGCCTATTTTTCGTTGCAGTCATCTACACA